TCACCATAGTGTGTAGTATGTAATATATGTGTTTGCTGGGTCTCTTGTTGTTTGAAATTTTTCTTATATTAATATTTTTGATATTTTTGACATTTTGGCCTTGAAATTTTATACCATTATTTAAGATCATACAGTTGTAAATTGTAATGTAACATAAATGGTACCCAGCAGCTGCCCTGCTGTCCGCCATGTCTGCTCAGTTAAATCTGCAGAGAAGACACTTTCCATATAGCAACAGGTTTTTTAAGGTTAATAGATGCAATTTTTGCATTTGCATGAAGTCATGGTATATGTATCTAACCTTGCATTGTTGTATATGTCTGTCTATCTGTATGTATGATTGGATATGGGTGGAGGTATTTATCATTGTGTGCAAGTTTGTAAGTTTGCATTTGTGTGTATGTTTGTGTTCACTTTTTAAAGTCTGCCTCAAACCCCAGCAGTGCACCTTCCGAGTTCAAACTCTTGATCCATGTCTGTCCCGAATTAAGTAAATAGCATTTACACTGACAAAATGCTTGTGCCCGAAAAGTGTGCCATATTACTTTGTCCTTCAATAACTGCTTGGTTTCACCGTGGTGTCCACACTCTATCTGGTTACGTAGATTTCACTTTCTTTGTTTTGTATAAGTAAATAACATTAGCTTTCAAAATCTGTTCAACTGCTAAATTATTTTAATCACCTTAATGACTCTAATTATCAATGCCATCTACACTGCAATACCTTCAAAATAATTTTTCAAACATTTTTCTCTAACCATTATTTTTTACATAGAACATATTTGCAAAATAGCCTTTCTTGCCAATAACCAGCCAACAGCAACTGGGGTGGTGGGACCAGGATGTTAGAAGTGTCTAGGACAGCCACATTTTATTATAATTTGGATTACAGTAATTTAAAAATAAGCTAGGAGTAACAACAGTGAGCAAAATAATATATGTATATATACACAGGGATGTATTTACCACAAGGCAAACAAGGCATTTGCCTAGGGCGGCACTTTCAGAGGGGGCGCAAAAAAAACACCACCCCAAGCTCCCAGGCAAATGCCTTGTTTGCCTCATGTTCTGGGGCTGTCCACCTTACTGTGAGTGAGTGTTGCTGTCAGTGTGTATCTGTGAGTGAGGGAAAGTGTGTGTGTCTTTCAGTGAGAATGGGTGTGCCTGTGAGTGTGTGTCAGTGTGTGTATGTCATTTTATGTGTTTCTGAGAGTGTGTGCCTGTCAGTGAGTGGGTGTGTCAGTGTGTGTCTGTCAGTGAAAGTGTGTGTTGGTTAAACAGTGTGTGCCAATGACTGTATGTGTATGCCAATGACTGTTTATCTGTCAGTGAGTGTATATCAGTGCTTGTATCAATGAGGGCATGTGTCTGTCAAAAGTGGCCTTAACACGAATTGTGGGGCAAATTTAGATTTTGGGGGGCAAATTTAGATTTTGGGAAGTGCGAATTTAGTCGTGCCTAGGGCAGCACAAATCCAAAATACACCACTGTATATACATATATGTATATATGTTTTTTTTTTATTATTATAATAAAATATTTAAATGTGTGGCCCACGCTTTTATTAATCCCTTGAAGAAAGCAGATGATAATGTTAAGAAAACACATCTACAAATTATGATGCTTTACATATGTTGGTCTCGTCAGATGAAATACAAAAGAGCACATGCCATATCAGTCCTGGATAAGTAAAGTGAAGTATTCTTGTATTATTATGTTGATATATGGCCACAATATGGTCTAAACTTACTGAGCAAAAGAGCATAAAATGGCGTCATAACACAAGTGAATTGGCCATAAAGTTTCTTAGTTAAGATAGGGCTTATGTCATTATAATACAAAATATGTAAAAGGTTTAACCAGGACAGGTTTATGACAGCTTTATGTTCTTGAGACCTCTGTCGCCTATGTTTAAACCTTTGTGATTCACGACCACTAAATGCTGCCCTGCAGATCTAGAGAGTTGTAATATTTAATGTCCACCGTGTCCACCGTGGAAACCACTGCGAAGTGCTGGAGAGAACAAGTTATGCCTGTTCAATCACCAGTGAATTGTAGCAAAGTGAAATCCTAATTGCAAAATGTATTTCAAAATAAAATAAAGAAATAAAATGTTGAAAAATTCCACACGTAATCTATAGTCAGCTTGGATTTTGCAACATGGTTTTAGATTCGCCACCATTTGCTGTTTAACCTCTTTGATCTTAAATAATGGTATAAGTTTAAAAAAATATCACAAATATCAGTATCTGAAAAATTTCAAACAAAAAAAATATTCAAGGCAGTTAAAAAAATAATTTTTTATTGGATGCTTTAAAATGCAAGCTTTTCTATCTTATCTGGCCAAAATATGGAATTTATGTTAAATCACAATTTACTACTATTTACTATTTTTGAAAATAAACTTAAAATAAAAAAATTATGCCCTATACAATGCTATATGAAATATAATATGAATACATACCTAAGATAAACATTAGCTATAAACAATTTCAAGTAATCTTATTAATATTTTAGGAACTTTGACTACTGTTTTCATACTATATTTTGCGATTTAGTGTGGGATAGGAGATTTATTTTCTTTTACTCAGAATTAGATTCAGAGGCACAGACTATAGTAATATAATTACTAGCTATAACCATAAATTTCAGACAAGCAATTTGTTTTAATCAATGCAATGGCAGCAATATACACCTTAAAATCAGATACAGAAAGAAATGACCATAGCTTTATGAGCAAAGGAACCTATTTATGTAATTATCTTGGTTATAAAACTGTAGCGTAAACTGCAGTGAATCCATTCATTTATTTATCAAGTGCTTTGATTTTTAAATATTTTTTTTGTTATGTTTATAGGTAATAATTAGCATAACATACGAATATGAGTTGCATTTATATTTTACATTTATTATTATCCAAGGAAAAAGCATGCCTCAACATAATTAAATGAACCTTGATTTAATAATAATATCAGGTGGGCTGCTCACTAAACCATAGATTTTAGAGAATCGATAAAAAAGCTAATTTTAGATCAAAATAATTTAGTTGGAAAATTGTTCCAGCTCAGTTATTTTGGTATACATTTGCAGTCCTTTTCTCAGTTATCCATAATTTCATGTTAAGTGAATATCCCCAAACTTACGTACACAGCACACTACATTAGTAAACCTCCCACGTACCACTGGGCCCTGTTTTGGGCCCAAATCCCTCTGTCCCACTTTTCTATTATACTGTCCCTTTTTTCTGGAAGCTCCATGTTATTGGTGCCATCTGAGTGTATAATAGAGTTCCACAGCAAAAATACTCGCAGTAATGTCTTTAATTACAATAAATGTGCTTAGAAATCAGTTTGTGTAAATAAGATACATTGTTCTTATTCTAAATTATACTCCTCCTAAAATGTAAATTAATTTGCAATAAATACATTTACTTTGCAATAGTTTAACTTATGTATACACAACTGGGTGTATGGCTGCATACCTCTGCACATGTGTATAGATAAGTGACAGCGTGAAAGAGTTAAGTGAATTTGAAATTTAAGGCCAAAGTAGCTAAACTGGAAGTATAACTGTCTTAGAGATTTTTTACAGCTTGGCTTTGCCATTAATTGGACATTCACTCTGAATTTTCACTTTAGTGAATAACCCTGAAATCTAACTCACTAAGCTCTTAAAGGACAGCTGTTATCCCCAAAACAGTTTTCGCTCTTTTAATAGATTATCAAATTTAAACTATACATTATTCTATCAGTTTTGCTAGCAAATGTACAGATTGGAAGAAAAATAATTTCTTTGGTCGTGGAATTGCTGAGAAATTAAATGGTAAGGTAGAGCAGAACAGTCCTCCCACAGGCGGACCTTCTACTCTCCACCCATAGCATCCACACACCATGTGCCGTGGTTGCTAAAATAACTCCCTAGCTAGCACTCGTAGAGCTAGCAAGGAAGTACAGTGGGACCTCGGTTTACGAATTTAATGTGTTCTCCGGGACGTTTCGTAATGCGAAAAATTCGTAAACTGAAACACGGTTTCCCATAGGAATGCATTGAAAACCAATTAATGTGTTCCGGAGGTGAGAAAAAAGTAAAAAAAAAAAAAGTATTTTATCTGTTCAAAACTCTTTATAAAGTGCACTTTAAAGGCATAAATACTGTACAGGGACATGATTTATCAAGCAATAACATTTCAAATATCCAACTTTATGTTTTAAAACATCACACATCAACTTTTAAAACATGGCAGACTGTTGGTAACATGGTACAGTACACTTCAACTGTACATAAATCACACATCAACAGGGAAAACATGAAAAATTTCAAAACAATTTCAACACTTTTTGGAAGATGAGGAGGACGAGGGCAATTGGGCAGCACTAACACAAGCAGGTTCTTCTTCATGTCTAGGCTGTTTTTGTAGGAACCTTTCCATTGTCTGCTGCCTCTGGCGCCTTTTAAGCATCCCTCGGAAAGGGGACATGATGTCTGTGTCAAAACTGCTCACAAGTCTCTGGGCTAGAGCCTTATCTGGGTGGTGCTGCTGTACAAAAGTCTGTAGGTTTACCCACATTTGGCATGCCTCCTTGAGTTTTGTGGAAAAGAGCTGTTCCTCACTCATTTCCTCCTCCTCCTCAAATGCAATCTGCTCCTCCACCGCCTCCTTCTGCAATTCCACCAGCTCCTCGGTGGTTAGGTCACGGTCGTGTTCCTCCACCAGCTTGTAGACATCCTCCTCAGTCACCTCCAGGCCCATAGTCCTCCCCAAGGAAACAATTTCCTCCAACACTGTTGACTCTGGTGCAGGTGCAGAAGCACTGGAGGCAGGTTTCACAACACAGTCTGGCCACAGGTTGCGCCAAGCAGAATTTAGGTTTGTCTGGCTGACCCTGGCCCAGGCAATGGTGATAATCTGCAGACAGCTCACAATGTCAAAATGATCTCTCCAAAATTCATGGAGAGTGAGGCTTGAGCGATCTGTCATCTCAAAGCATCGTCGGAAGAGCTCACTTGTGTAGAGTTTTTTTAAAATTGGAGATGACCTGCTGGTCCATTGGCTGGAGTAGTGGGGTGGTGTTAGATGGAAGGAACATGACCTTGATGAAATTAAAGTCCTCCAGCAAGTCTTCCTCAAGGCCTGGAGGATGGGCTGGAGCATTGTCCACGAGCAGCATGGCCTTGAGTGGCAGGTTATTGTCCACAAGGTACTTCTTCACAGCAGGACCAAAAACCGCATTGACCCACTTCACAAACAAGAGGCGTGTGACCCAAGCCTTTGGGTTAGACTGCCACAAAACGCTCAACTGCCCCTTGTTCACCTTGTGTTTCTTGAAGGCCCGTGGGTTCTCTGAATGGTAGACAAGCAGGAGCTTGATCTTAAGGTCCCCACTGGCAATGGCGCAGAACAGGAGGATGAGACTGTCCTTCATCGGATTGTGGCCAGGCAATAAGGTCTCCTCTTCTGTGATGAAGGTACGCTTTGGCATCCTCTTCCAGAAGAGTCCAGTCTCATCACAGTTGAAGACCTGCTGAGGAAGGTAGCCCTCTTAATCCATGACCTCCAGGAACTTCGTAGCAAATTCCTCAGCTGCAGCAACATCGGAACTTGCAGCCTCTCCATGACTGACCACACTGTGGATGCCAGATCTGGTCTTGAACCTTTCGAACCACCCCCTGCTGGCCTTGAAGCCTTCTGCATCTGCTGACGTTCCTGGCTGTTGTTTGATGAGGTCAGCGTGCAAGGCCTTGGCTTTTTCACAGATGATCGCCTAGGTCACTGAGTCCCCTGCACGCTGCTTCTGTTAAATCCAGAGGAGGAGCAACTTCTCTACCTCCTCCAGAACAGGTGGCCGTTGCTTAGAGACCCTGGTGACTCCCTTGGCTGCATCTCTCCCAGTTATCTTCTCTTTCATTTTTAGGATTGTACCGATTGTGGATGCACTCCTTCCATACTCTTTAGCAAGGTCAGTCCATCGCATTCCTCCTTCATGCTTCCTGATGATGTCTTTCTTGTCCTCAAGCAGAATCATCTCCTTCTTCCTCTTCCCAGCTTCCGCTGCTTTCTTGGTTGCCATGACACCACCGTCACTAAGTATGCAAAAAAAAAAAAATGCTTTACACTCACATGAGCTGGCATGGAAAACAACCCCACAATGCAAAACACACAGTACAGTACTGTAACAGGCATGCACAGCACATGAGCTGGCATGAAAACCATAGTAAAAGCCATGCACAGCACAAAAACTGGCATGGAAAATAACCCCACAATGCAAAACACACTGTAACAGGCATGCACAGCACATGAGCTGGCATGGAAATCACCCCACAATGCAGAACACACAGTAAAAGGCATGCAAACAACTAAGCTCAGCTCCCTACCTTTCCACCTCTTGAGATGCACCAAAAAGGCTCCAAAGTTTGCTGCAAAAGGCTCCAAAACTTGCTGCAAATGGCTCCAAAACCTCTCCAACACCTCCACACTCACGTGCTACCCAGACTCCAGTATGCAGGGGGCGGAGCTATAAACTGGAACATTTCTTTCGTATTGCGAAAAAAATTCGTAAACAGAGGCATTTTTTTTTTACAGATTCTCATTCATAAACCGAATTTTTTGTATACCGAGGCGTTCGTTAACCGAGCTTCCACTGTATAGGAATAGAATGACTCACGTCACCCTGTTGAGATGCCAGCATGGTGGCAATCAATCAAGCATGGCGGCGACATGGAGGAGGTTTGCTCTTCTTGGGTAAGTGATGACAGGTTCCTTTTAAATCTATCTGGCAGACTGCTACCACTAAAGAGACATAAATAAAAATATAAAAGTTAACCGAATGTTACTTCTCCCTACAACCTGCACATCTACACAGAACTTCCGTTGAGGTTTATTCAATAAAACACTAAATTTTAGATATTTTCATATATTAACATTTATGGTGTTACTTGTAGAAGAATCCCATCATTAAGGAAATCAAAGTGCCCAACCAGGCCCTGTCTTTGAAAGGAAGCTTAGCTGCAGGCCAATATCGTCAGGGCCCATCTTGATTTCAGGGTCCTGCCCCGCCATCCCAGATTGGTTCTTTGTGAGGGCACTAGGACAATGCTCAGACTGCTTTGGCAACTCTCTCTACACAGTCTGTCCTGAGTGGGAGCAACCAGGAAGGTTTTCAGACAGCCTGTCATGCATTCACACCAGACTGACAAGACTCCCTTTCCAGGCATGAGTGTCTGTTTTGGACATCACTGGCATGACCCCATAGTTTATCCACCCTGTATCGATTTCATACCAGCCAGTGTTGGGAGGAATGTATACATGATCAGTAATTCAGAAGATCTCCAATAACAGTTTTCAGATTTATGTTGTATTTTGTGCAAACATGAACATATTGGATTATTAGACTTTTTTTTATTTTTTTGAGTCTCAAAATCATAGCGAGAGTGACCTCTGGTAGCAGCCAAGACTGCAGCTGTATCTCTGTTTAGTTAGAAAACGTATAATGTTGATAGAATTGGCCATCCGTCTCAGAGCTCAGAGATTGTGTTACCATCCACTTTAGTAGCACATCAGATTAGATTTTTAACCCAGCAATGCACAGCCTCAGATCTGGACTTACATTTGTTATTGGCATTTCTACTTTTGAATGTAGTTAGTTGAGTAACAACTCACATAAAGCTTTGTTATTCTTCCTGATGGCATATGCAGGAATGCAGGTTAGGAGCGAGTGACAGAAAGAGAATTGTACATGTGTACTGCAATTGGCAAAAAGGAAGAATTTTACAATGGTGGAGATAGGACAGAGGAGGAAGTGTTAAAGGGACACACCACTGCCCAAATACAAAATAAATGTCATTTTGCATTTTTTCATTGGAGTTATATTTAAAAACAGTTTGCAAAAACTGCAGACCTCTTGTCTGTTACCTTTGCAAGCCCTCCCCTTCTAACCACACCCAGACTTTTTGTGACTGTCCAATCACAGACTCCCAATGCAGCTGAATAAGAAGTCTTTGTAAGGCAGGTGCTCTTGACAGTTGTTGCCTCTGGAGTTCAATGCAAATAAGCTAACCAAACCAGGAAGTAATAGGACCTGTTGTCTGTTTCTATTGAAATTTGCACTTTTTCCAAAATGAAAAACAGGACACACTCTTCACACATAAAGCTTTTCAACAAAATAAAGTGCTTTATTGGTCTGGAGTGTCCCTTTAAGAAACAGAATTCTGTAAAACAATTTTATTTGTTTATTAAAATAAAGTACAGAATTGTGCGTTCCAAAATATAGGTAATTATTTAGGCCATTAGTGATACAATTAGCAAAATTTGTTCTGGCGTTGTTGTCGCTTCTCTGCCACTGTCCAATCCAGGGTGCTATGATAAGGCATTACCACTCTGTGCTCTCCTATATTCTAGCAATAAACCGGCTTTGAGGAAGGTTGGTATATTACCGTGTTTGCCTCCTATAGTACTGAATTAAAAACTGAATTACAAAATGTATGCTATAAAGGCTGTTGTGGTGTTGTGGAAAAATCTTGCAACACAGCTATAGTCACAGATTGGGTCAAGTGCAGAAAAGGTTAAAAATTACCTGGGTCTAGCGTGCCGATGTCCCTTGGTGCTGGCTTGGGTCCGTCTTCGCTCCTCTCCCGCCAGCTAACATCAGCAATGCCGTGCTCGCATTACGATTTATCCATAGGAAAGCACTAAACAATGCTTTCCTATGGGGTTTTGATGACGCTGGACATCCCCATGCATTTCTCAAAATTTTCAATAATTAGTTTTGCAGGGTTAAAGGACTTGGGGCAGTGCCCCCAGACCACTTCAATGAGCTGAAGTGGTCTGGCTGCCTATAATGTCCCTTTAATCCCAAATGTCACTATTTGGATATCAGTTTGCCATAATTCAAAGTTTAGTGATTAACCCCCTATGTCTGTACCATTTCTCTCTCTTAGAAATTTGAAACCAGGACGGACAAAATAAAAACAGATATTTTTTTACAAGTTCAGTTATTGTGACTTCAGATTTGAAATTCACTTTGAATTCACACTATTTACATAATTTACACCATTCACACTTCATGAAAGACCCATCCTAAGTGATAATGCTTACAAAATGCTTGAAATTAGTAAATCTATCTTTGAGTTGTTTTCTATGTCAGAGCTGACTTTGAGACAAGACTTAATTGATGCTGCTTAAAAAATTATTTGCAATGCATTTTATTATAAATTACTAAAAATAGGTGTGTACATTAGGATATACTCTGAAAAACCTTGCATTCTAAGCACCTGTTAGATTCAAGTGGGTTTTAAAGTGGGTTACACTAACATATTAAAGTGAATAATTCATAGGGAGATTCCAGTATTTTCCCCTGTCACTAAATGTTAATTTTTCAAGTGTAGTAAATTGTATTAATAAACTATCATACTTTATGAACCAAAAGATTATTGTCTTATCTTTAAAGGAACCAGACGTCACTTGCGTTCGTCTCTCGATGTTTAACTTATTATTGCAGTTCAAATTTCAATCGTAAATTGCATGATGGGGAATCTAATACGTTTTGATATGAGTTTGGTTAATATGTTTGGAGATGATGACGCAAATTAAGTAATACATATTTTTTGTGTTCTTATTATTTTTCTTTAGTACAGCGAACATGGTAAGTCTAAACATTGCATGTCATAATAAAGAGTATTAAAACGTTTATAAAAAGTCAAATAAATTAAAAATGTCACTTTAACCCCTTAAGGACACATGACATGTGTGACATGTCATGATTCCCTTTTATTCCAGAAGTTTGGTCCTTAAGGAGTTAAAAATATGTATATATGTATTCAAACATATGTCTGATATATATGAGAATATGAAAATAAATGTATATTTATTTCTGAAGTGCCCCTTTAAATTCTCTTTAAATTGTGTTAACGATTTGACATTTGCTTTTTGTCTGATCTATAATATTGAATGTTTGTTAAGCAAATGCTAACTCAATCTAATAGTATCAGCACTTATTTATTTGTAATTGCTATTATTTCATTTATAAAACTAAAACAACAGCAAAAAAACATCTGGAAGAGGTTTCTATGTGTTCTCTTTTCATGTTATCTTTATTGGAATTTAAAGAAAATAATCCAATCGATTTTATGACCAGAGGTTATTATTTAAACATCACACCTACTTGCATTTAATACTACGTTTAGCTATCATGCTGACACTTAAATATGACTATTGAGCATGCAGTATGAATAATCTTATGCAGAGAACTCGGGCAAGGAGCTTGCAATCCATTTTCGATTGCATTACTGTCAATGCCTACATTGGGGTCTATACCTTTAACAATGCTGAGTTGCTAACAACCTGCAAAGCTAAACCTGAATAATGTATATCAGTTTGAAAAGATTTCGAAATAGCTAGTTTACTTTTTACTTCGTTGACTGTTTGGGGAATAGACCCTTGCTACACATATTTAAACTGCACAGATTTTTTTTTAGTAAAAACAAA